GCAATACTGAACACACGTTCTGATGGTACACTTGTCGATGGGGCACCCAAATAAATTCGAGCTATTGTTACCAGAGCTGGAAATTGTTGTAGGCTGTCACTCCATCACTGTAGTAGATCAGCGTGTCTATTTATTTCTGGTTCTGCCAGATACTCATTTAGCTGGGTATCAATGCCTTTTGGTAATTGTTGTTCATGTGCTGTGCCACCAGCGGACGTAAACTGAATAATTTCATCAATACATCGCCATTGTAATGATGATGTAGAAAAATTATCCATTTGAGCTTGTTTTGCTGGAACTTTTTCAATTTTGTCAATCTGCTGCTCAGCATGCTCAGATTGACTTCCATCTTGCATCAATACCTTCTGCACTGTAATTTTATTAAATGCAAGGAGAACTGCTGCTTTTGCAGCTGTCAGTGTTGCTTGTGATGAGAAGAATTTTGTTTTAAATCTTAGATCACTGTATGAAGAGGTTTCTTCTCAATGTCTTTAAATGCAATTGATATGCAATTAGACAAGAAGTTCCTTCTACTTCTGAACAGTAGACAGTTAAAGCACAATGCTGTTCACATAGTCGAAGCAGCATGTAAAATGTTGAGTTCCATCTTGTACTAACGTCTTGTATAAGCTGGTGGTCAGGTAAACAAAGTTCAGCCTGTAGCTCCTTGAACCGACCGATCGCAGACGAAGAATGCTTAAAATGACCAACTAATTTCTTTCCAATACTTATTATATTGGATACTGCCGGCTGGCTGAGCAAGCCATCATGCACACATAACTGAGTAGTATGTGCAAAGCACCCGAGGCTTTCTATGTTGGCATCACGAAAACATTTTGATATGTTTGCCGCATTGTCTCGAAGTACGATATGACAGCGCCCAACGTCAATGTTCCATTTGCCAAGCATCTGCTGACAGGCAGTCATCAGTGCAGGGGCAGTATGATGTCCAACGAATGGCATACAATCTAACACAAAGCTCATGTTTTCAAAGTGCTCTGTCAACCAGTGTGCAGTTAAGCCCATGAATGATTGTACAGTATTGCCTGCTGTCCATGTATCAGTGGTAAACGACAAAAATGGATTAGATGCTGGATCTAGCATTACCAACAGTTGAGCACACATTTCATCGTTTATTAAGAAAAACGATGAAATGTGTGCTCAACTTGCAAAGCAAGTTGAGCACACAGTTTTGCAAAGCGGTTATTAGGAATTAACCGCTTTGCAAAATATTTTTGTGATAACAGTGTACCGCCTCTAAAAATTATGACACGCTCAATTAGATTCTTTCCTCTATCATAGCAGCGCGATAAGTATTGTCAAATTTAAAGCGTGAAACAATGCTTTTGTCTGATTTTTTTAATTTTAGTCATACCAGTTATAAATCATCCGACGTTGATGGCGGTGTAGCAACAACCGCTCATGACCGAACTGACCTAAGTGATATCAAATTCTAAGAGTATCTTAAATGAATGCTATCTAAATCAACTGGTAACATTCCTAACATACTGCAACAATATACTTTTTAAGAAGCACGTTTTACCTCATCATCATCATCAAAGATCCAGATTGCCTAATCTCATTAAACGAAGGAAGTTCGCTTAGACATACACCAATGGAAAAAAGGTACTGTCTTTTAGTCGATCTATTTGCTATAGACTTCAACAAAAACAAACTGTTATTTCTAATTCGACGTTGGCTATTAAAAATAAAACTACGATGTAATTTTAGCACACGACTTCTAAAATAATACCAAACAATCTCTCGGTAAACAATCTGTACAGTTGATTTATTGACATTTACAACAAAGCTGTAAAACTACACATTCCATCACCTATGACTACATTTAAAACTAAGCAAGATCTTTCGGTTATATCAGAAGTATTGGAAACAGTAAAAGCAAACGACAGTATTTGGGCAAAGTACGCTGCTGCAGGTAGAAATTTGCACGCAAAAATAAGTAACGATCATCAGATTGCATGTAAAACCCTAACTAAAGTGTTCAATGAGACTGTCCTTCATTTTAAACAACAACTAGTTATCAGTTTCAAGCATTTCCCACACGTAAAACTTCTATACTCACACGTAAAACTTCTATACTCACACGTAAAACTTCTATACTCACACGTAAAACTTCTATACTCACACGTAAAACTTCTATACTCACACGTAAAACTTCTATACTCACACGTAAAACTTCTATACTCACACGTAAAAAATAAGCCTAAAATACATAATCTCATTAGTATGCTTGAAACTAGCAATAGTAATATCACCAGAGATTACGAAATTATAAGTTTGACAATTAACAATTACTTCAATTCAGTTTTTGTCGAAGAACCACTAATATCTATTTGGTATAGGTATAAGTGGTTCATTTGAAAAGAAAATTTATTTACAGTGGCCACAGTACAAAACTACTTATTCGGCCTTGACAATACAAAATCAATGGGGCTTGACGGATTACATTCACGTGTTTTAAAAACCTGTGCAAAAGCTTTTGTAACACTTTTTGCACCTATAATTAGACAATCCTTTCAAATTGAGAAGGTCCCAGATTTATATAAAGATATCTCTTGTCTCTCTACCGTGGGCATGTTTTGAAACCCTATACAGGCTTCCAATAGGTAGAAACATGAGCAATCTGATTCGCTGATTTTGAAAGAGAGGCAAGTGCGTTTTTGGAATTAAAATCAAAAAAACAAATAATTTTTAAAGTAATCAAGTAAGTTTATCATTACAAATCTTGTGTTATTAATTTTATTTTAGTCAAATCTTTGTTTTTAAAAAGATATTATACAAATCACGTTTTGAGTTGCAAAAGTTTTGTAAAAGAATAATTACTATATTGTACAAAATTTTATAAAAATAATCATACTTTTTTTGTTATAATTTTTTAATTTTTTTATGCGATTATTCAATTTCATTTATTCAGTAAGCTTTTTGACCTTTGTTTTAATTTTAACATACGCGCTAAAGCATCTCTTTCAAAATTATCCAATCAGATTACGCATATCTCTGCCTATTTTGAGCTTGCATAGGGTTTCAAAATATGCCTACCGTAGAAGGTGAAGGAGAGAATTATAAAAGGATTATGAAACACTGTACACTACACAAACTAATTTCAAAGTCTCGACATGGATTTTTATATCCCAAAGAATGCCTTACAAACCTGATTGAATCCAGTGACATTCTCACGGAGACAACTTACCGTGAACACCATGTAAAAATAATTTTAAATTTTGTCGAATAAGTTAAATTAATTGAGCGTGACCTTGGAGTACTAATATCCGACACCATCAAAGTCAAAGCAAAAGTAGAAGCAACAGTTTAGGCTGGCAGTTTATTGCTTGGCTGTCTCAAGGAGATATTTAGGTGCTGTAGCCTCCAGCTCTGGAAAAAACTGTAATCTATACGTATATGACCTCATCTAGAGTTTAGTGTGCAAGCCTAGTGTCCACATCTTAAATCGGAAATTGTTCTTCTCAAAAACGTGCAACAAAGATAATATCATTGATTATTCGTTTTAGTTGCGAAAAAGAAAATTTAAATATTTGTCTAACCATACTGGAAGAAAACAGATTTTGTAGTGGCCTTATTCTGCGATACTTAATCGCGCAGCATTCACAAGAAGGAACAAATAGCACAGGATGTGATTGATTCACCCACAGTGAACTCTTTAAAAAAGTACGTTTAAGATGATGCTTTGGCTGCAGCAATGTCCAACTTAAGCGTTAAAAAGCCTGGTATGCTTTCCTTCATTAATGCTATAATTTTTATGTATAAGTTTTATTGATTACTGTAATAAATTAAATAAAAATCCTCCTCCGCAATGCTTTGTGAAAAGGGAGGTTTTCTTATTCTTTCAGAGGATAAAACTCCAAAAACTCTTTTATATTTTTCTAATGTTTCCTTAAGTGAAGCTGGCCTTTTTTTTTTACAGCCAACCGCCTGAATTTGAATTTAAGTTAAAAGTATTGAAAGACAAAAGAGATAACGATTGTCTCTTCCAATATCAAACAAACTTGTTGCATTCAAGTTTGTTTGATATTGGAAGAGACAATCGTTAACAAAAGGGGTGATAAATACTTTCTAACAATCAATGTAAAAAATGTCTTAAAACAAGTAAAAGATGAAATACCGCGAGTTAATTTGTCAAACATTATTCTTGAAAATGACGATCTTTATATATGGAAGGAAAAATTTTTTATCTATAACAGTATTTTCTTGGATGTCACGTTTACAAATTTCTTAATGATAAATGAAATAAATTAATTAATTCGCAACCTGCCACAAAGTAATAACGTAGAACGTATTTTCTTTTTATTGAATGATCAGCGGACAAATAAATGAAATTGGATGGACGTTTCCAATATAAAATCCATACTACAAGTGCTAACGATTTCAGAAAACTTGCTGAAGCAGGTTGGATTAAGCAAGAAATATGATTAACGCATGTGGTCAATAACAATTTATTAATATTATATGAAATATGAAATATTTTTAAATGCAAATAATAAACAAGTGTTTAAATAAGCTTCGACTTGTCATAAATGAGGAAAAGCCATCAAATGCGCTCAAAAATGATAATAATGATAAAAAAAATGATTATATAATATATATATATATATATATATATATATATATATATATATATATATATATATATATATATATATATATATATATATATATATATATATATATATATATATATATATATATATATATGACCAAGAGTCTATTATAAGATCTAATATAAATAAATGAAAGATTTTAGTATATAAAATTTGAAAATTGAACTCAAAATTTTTAACTTTGCGACATGAAAATTCACTCATATAATATCAACTTAAAAAAAAAAAACCTTAATAAGTCTAACTTAACGCATTTTAATTATTAAAAGTTTGTTGAATGGTTTTTTTTAATGTTTTAACATTATGTCGTAATAATTGAGTTTAAAAAAAAATTCTAAACTGCTAATAAGAAAAAGGTGTTTTAATAAGGAAAAAACTATCTAAAAGGTCATTAAAATGATAGTAATAAAAATAATAACGCAGAAGAATAATAAAATTTAGTTTCGAAATTAATAAATTTCTAAGGTTGAGCACTTTTAGAGAAATTCTATAAAACTAATCGACATAAATTATGAAAAAAGAGTTAACAGAATATTGTTTCGATAACAGCAGTTAGCAGAATATTGTTTCGATAACACGAAACTAGATTCTGTTAACTGAAAAGAAGAAGTCATTAAAAATTCGTTTCTTATAAGTAAATTTATAAAATTTTCTTGGGAAAATTTAGTAGGTAACTACCTATATTCACCAATATTATATAAAAGGAGTAGAAAAAAAGAAAAGAAATGAAAAACTTTGGAAAAAGTATACCTGTTTGCGCTCTAAAACAAAACAAGGATGATAAAAGCCATGGTTATAAGCTTTATTTTAGGTAAAATGATCCAAAGATACATATCTCGTGTGTAAAAATATATAATATTTTTTTTATAGTTTTATTTTTTAGTTATATGATTATATATATATATATATATAATATATATATATATATATATATATATATATATATATATATATATATATATATATATATATATATATATATATATATATATATATAAATATATTACATTTTCAGTAACATTGACTATGATACTGATTGAGGCTAAATCTGTAATATCGGATCAAAGTAAAGATTCGCTTTTTACAAACCCACTGAATGAAAAACTTGTATCAAAATGTGAAAAAAAATCATGCACTGAAGCAATAAGGAAATTCAATAGTTTAACAGAAGATCTGATTATGGATAGGTATCATCTGGTGCTCGTTCATCGTCTAAAATGTTTACTGGTAATTTTGTTAAAATTTTAAAAAACATTTTTTATAAATTCTTTTTAAAATATTTTTCATGTATAACTTAAGTTTTATTTAGGTATTACGTTTAACCAAACACGACTCGACCTCAAATGATTCTGCTTGCTCTTATCATACTACGGAAGGTTTCATTAAAAGTCCAGATGTAAAATTGCTAACTTCGGTAAGAACTTTTAATCCAAAATTTATTAAATAAATTATGTCAAATATTGGTCTCAATTTATTTTCAAAAAACAATTTCAAAAAACTTATGAATTTTTGGAACACACTTTCTACATGCGAATAGGTGAAATTGCATATGACCAAAAAACTGCTAAACTTTTACCTGTGTTTGGCCCTGCACACTTGTTTACGTTTGTATATGGAAAAACCAATTTATCGACATTATATTTATCTTATATAAATTGCTTATTTGTCGGTAAAATTACTTTAATATACCTGACGCGTTTGCTAAATCCCGCCCCCCTGTACAGATTTAAAAAGTTCTCAAAGTAACTAAAATATAAACTAGTATAAATTAGTGTTTATTTAAATATATATATAAAAGAGGAAAATCTTTTATAAAAAATCAAACAAAAACTTTATTATTGATACTAATTTTTTTTCAAGCATTAAATATTACGTGAGTATTAACATATATAAACTTACTGATGGGAATATATATGTTAGTTGAGTATATATGTTAGTTGAGTATATATATATTAGTTGTATATACGTTAGTTGTGTATATGTAAGTGAATATATATGTTAGTGGAGAGAATATATATAAAACATGTAATTTTTCTAAATGCGGTTCTAAACTTTAGTTAGCTGTTACACCTAATCGAAACAGTATTAACTGTAACGGAAAATATTTAACTATATTAAGCGTTTTCTGTTATTAAATTAAAATGGGATTAACTGCTGTTAAATAATTATCTTTTTATGAAATGTTAAAGGTTCTCTTTTTTAAATATTAGAATTATGTTATGTTATATAACATTTATATCTTAAGGTATAAATTTTTATTAGTTAATAACCCGGTGGACACTTTTAAATTTGAGGTTTTTTAGGCATAAAAGTTTAAAAATAAATAACAAAACCATTTTTCTTAGGATTTTGCAGCCCTTCGGCTTTATGAAAATTTGTTAGATAAGATTCTTGGAGAACTCTACATTGTAATGAAACTTGAAGCAAATATTGACTCTGGTCAAAATTTTTTGGTGTCGATGTTACAATTATGCAACAGCGTAAAATCGCTTTACATGCGAATTAAAAGTATCGTAGAGGTTTGTAAATACAAAATAAATAATATACTATTTAAAAGTTTTTTGAAAATTTTTTAACAACAGTTTTATGTTTTTATCAATTTAAAAAAGTAAATGTATTGTTAGTTACGCCTGTATTGTTAGTTACGCCATTTGGTAGATACATATTCTGGTCCCTGTGTTTTTATACCACAAATAAGTAAAAGTTACAAAAATCATTTTAATTTAGATATATTCTGAATGTAATTGCGAGACATTTGAGAAAACTAAGGAATTGTATATTCAAACCTACGATGTCTTGACAAAAAAATACGACCACTCTAAAAGCATGTTGATTATTCTCAAACAGCTTGAAATTTTGAAGAAAATATTTAAAGAAGATTTTTGGGAAAGAAAGAAAAAGTATGTCTTATGTGACACTTGAATTTTTCAACTTCAATTTGATAACATTATTTGGTATTGTTCTAAACGGTTACAAAGCAGTATGACGTTTTTCATGCGGGATTTAGAGTGTACTGGATATAGTATTTTAAAAAAACTTTTAATTATGACCATAATATTTTTTTTTGTAAATATCTCTCAATGATACTTAAGTTTTGAAAATAAAATAAAGAGACGTCTGAAAAGTATTTTTTTTTATATATAAAAATTTTTATATATAAAAAAAATTTTTTAACTACTAATTCCTTACCTAATAAACTTTAAAAAATTTAATAAAATTTCATAAATCCAGTTTCATAAAATTAAATAAGTCTTTAGTGGAATTATTGAAAGCATTAAGTAATTTTTTACAAGTTTTATTATCATATTTTCATATTATCATATTTGTTACCTCTTGAAACTATGCTGTAGCTGAAAGATTTCTTATAATCTCAAATTTTATTTCAGTTTGAACTTAACTTTCATTCTTGATTTGAATAGATTAAAGTAGATTGAAATAATAATATTTAATCAAATCAAATCAAATATATTCTGAAACAAGTTGTTTAACATTTCAAGGATATTTACAAAACGAGTACTAATATGAACCGAATACCTAATACAATATATCAATATAGACATTTAGAAATATATTAATAGTAATAATAATATTATATTAATAGTGTAAATACTACTAACAATTAAAACAACAATAAACATTAAATCAATATATATATATATAGCAATAATAAGTAATAATGATAGTAAAATATAAAATAAAATAAAAATAAAAATAATAAAAAAAATTAATATTACTATCATCTGAAACAAAAAAATAATGATAAGAATAATAATCATAAAATTCAATCAAAATAAAAAAGAATAATAATCGGAATAAAAAATCTTTAATAACGATGATAATATTACCAATAAAAATAAGATAAATAGAAATGAAAGAAAATAAATTGATGATGAATATAAATAAAGATTCAAAAAAATCCTCGTCAATAACAGTGATAACATTAACAATAAAGTTAAGATAAATAGAGACAAATGAAAGAAAATAAATTGATGATGACGATAAATAAAGGTTCAAGAAAATCCTCGTCAATAACAATGATAATATACTAACAATAAAAATAGCAAAATGAAAAAAATAAATATATAAAAGGAAAAGCAGAACAAATAACCAAGGAATTAAGGATAAGAAAAGACTAGGTAGATAGAATTTAGAAAGGATATTTAGAAAAGACTAGGTAGATAGAATTTAGATAGGATAGGATAATGAAAAGCCAAAGGATTACTTATTTATAAATATTATAGGGAGTTTGGAGTTTGACTGCAGAAATATTTATTTGTATTTTATTAACAAGTGATTGAAAAGCTTGACCTTGAAGTCAGAGATTGAGTTTAGAGATTTTAAATCAGGGGAAGATTGTTCCATGCTCTTATACTTTAGTATTTAATGGATTTATTTCCATACTTGATAGAATGGTGTTTTGGAACAGGTAGGTTTAAATAATTAAACGAACGAAGAGGATATCGACAGTTTAAACACTTATTATAAAAATTGTTAGACGATACTGGAAGGTTATGATGATGGTAATTCCAGAAAAATTGACAGTCAAGGAATATAACAAGGTCACTTAATAGGTGTCAGACTGGATTTAAAGATCATGAGTTCAGTTTTATTACAGCTAAGAGAAAGTTTATTAGATCGAAGCCATTGAACAAGATTTGAGAGATCATGATTAATATATTTGTTGATTTTTTTTAGCAATTTGTCAATCAGTAGCATATTAGTATCGTCCGCAAAGTGGTAAGCAGTTGCACATTTAAAAGAAGTATTTAAGTCATTAATAAAAATAAGAAAGAGAAGTGGTCCTAAAACTGAACCTTGAGGGACACCATTTGACCACTTTTTTATGACAGAATTAGTCCCATTAATAGAAATAAACTTTTTTCTATTGTTAAGATAAGAAAAAAACAATTTAAGTGGGATGCCTCTGATTTCATGATACTACAATTTTGTTATAAGTATTGAGTGATCTACAGTGTTAAAAGCTTTTTCCAAATCTACAAACACTCTACATGCAAAGTATTTGTTATCCAGAGCTTTTTGAATCCTCTCAACAATTTCAATGAGTGCAAGGGTTATGGAATGTTTGCTTCGGAATCCATACTGATGTTGGTAAAGGCTTATACATTTTTCTAGAAACTTGTACAGCTTGTTATGCCTTTTGATAAAAGTTTGCTCAAATCGGAAAGAAGTGAAATGGGTCGATAGTTAGTGTTATCAAAAAGAGAACCTTTTTTGAGGATTGGAACTGCTCTAGCTACTTTGAATACATCAGGGAATGTGCCACTTTTAAATGAGTTATTAATAATAGTGCAAAATGGCTTTGAGATAATGTGAGATGTAAGTTTTAGAAAAATGAGGGTAGGCTGTTAGGACCATAGCTTGTATTATTTTTTAAAGTATTATTGATAAGATTAGATACCTCATCTTCACACACAGGATCAATAAAGAGGGAATTAGTATTTGGCATATTAAGAAAGTTTCTAAATTTGCGTTTTATTGGTCTGATTTCCCTGTGTATTTTTATTATTGACAGAGATAAAATAGTTGTTAAATATATTAGAGACAGTAGTATGGTTTGTGATAATATTTTCATTCAAATTTAGTTGAAAAGGTGCATTGTGGGATAGTGATTTAATGTTTATGACTTCTTTAATGTCTTTCCATGTATTTTAAATGTTGTTCAGGTTGTTATTGAAATAGTTTATGTAGAAGGATTTTTTGCTACTTTTTAGTAAGTTACTAATTTTATTCCTATAATATTTAAATTTTTTAAAGAGTTCGTTTTTATTAAATTTTAAGCCAATAAGCTAAAATGAAAAAGCCCTTAAAGTTTCATTGCTAGAAAATAATTTAAAAAATTTTTATAATTACACCATACGTCTCTATAAATTATACTCATTTATCAACGAACTTACTCACTTATCAATAAACGCTGCTTGCAGTGTTGTTGCAAATAAATCTATAAAAACAATAAAAGGAAGAAATTAAAATTTAATGAGATCCACATAGGTTTTAGAATCAGTCTATTTTTTAATCGTAAGCGTAGAGTTTAGCTTTTCCCAGGCTTAAACTATTTAGTGGAATTTGAAAATATATAATAAATGGCTGTTTTTTCAATATGCCTAATCTTACCTAATCTTAAGCAAAACTTGTTCTTTCGTATGAAACCATGTATTGATTCATTACAAACCATAATTTTAGGCAATATCACGCGATATGATTTAATCAGACAATATCACGCAATATGATTTAATCAGGCAATATCACGCGATATGATTTAATCAGGCAATATCACGCGATATGATTTAATCAGGCAATATCACGCGATATGATTTAATCAGGCAATATCACGCGATATGATTTAATCAGGCAATATCACGCGATATGATTTAATCAGGCAATATCACGCGATATGATTTAATCGATTTTAAGAACGCAAGTAGATCTCAAGCTTAAAATTTTAAGGCTGATGAAACTTTCATAATTCATCTGCAGGATGAGACAAATATAATAAGATATACATATAAATAAACTAAGTATTCAAATGTCACAAAAGAAATTATCAAATTATAGTAAAAAGCGAAGAAAAGATACCTAGGAATTATCTTTCTTCGCTCTTTACTATAACTTTAAGATAATTGTTTTTCTGTCTTTGACTTCAAATTCAAACAATATTTCAAAAAATAGAGAGGCTATAGCTATTTTCTCTGTGTTTTTTCAAAAGGTTGCTTATTAAATAATTATTTATTTACTATTTTTTTGCAATTTTAGGTAAATATTTATCAAATATTGAAAATAATAACCTTTTTAGTATTTGTAAAATAGCCGGTGGTCTTTTTCTAAAATAATAGTAATATTGAAAATAATATTTATAATAATAATATTGAAAATGTTTCTTTGCAATAATTAGACTCAGATCTGTTTATAACGCTCTATAAATGTCTTAAAAGCCACTTTTTATCAATAGAAATACTGAATATTCATAATATGGAAATATTAATTTTGGTTGTTTGTATCTATAGACTCATCAAGTTTTTGAATTTATTTAATGTTTCCAACACGTCGGGCGTTAAGTCCCAATAAATATGATTCTATCTTGTTTACGCATGATGATAATAAAAATCTAAATGAATGTCAAAGTGGCGAAGTCCCATTATAGAAAATGAAAGGTAAAATGAAATTAAAACCATGCGATATTTTTCAGTGCGATGTGAATAAAAATATTTTATCTTTTGTTTGAAAAATATATGTGTATATATTTGCACATTAGCGTTACTTAATATACAGTATGCAATATTTATTTTTAAATATAAAACGTATTGAAAACTTATTTTACATTCATGTTCAACAATTTTGTAATATCACGACGATATCTATAGACTCATCAAGTTTTTGAATTTATTTATTTAACCTAGCGCTGATTAAATATAACCTGATTTTGATAGCACTAATATATATATATATATATATATATATATATATATATATATATATATATATATATATATATATATATATATATATATATATATATATATATATATATATATATATATAGATCATATATAGATCATATATATATATATATATAGATCATATATATATATATATAGATCATATATTTATATATATATGTATATATATATATATATATATATATATATGATCTATATATATATATATATATATATATATATATATATATATATATATATATATATAGATATATATATATATATATATATATATATAGATCATATATATATATATATATATATATATATATATATATATATATATATATATATATATATATATATATATATATATATATATATATATATATATATATATATATATATATATAGATCATATATTTATATATATATGTATATATATATATATATATATATTTATATATATATATATATATATATATATATATATATATATATATATATATATATATATATATATATATATAGATCTATATATATATATATATATATATATATATATAGATCATATATTTATATATATATGTATATATATATATATATATATATATATATATATATATATATATATATTTTATATATATATATATATA